TTGATTGATTGAAGGATGTTTTGTGATGTCCGGATTTGCCAGGCTGAAGTTACTTACCTCGGTGATCTCTTGCATCCTAATTTGGTCAAGTTGATTGGTTACTGCACTGAGGAGGATCAAAGGCTCCTGGTCTATGAGTTGATGCCTCAAGGGAGCTTGGAGAATCACTTGTTTTGAAGTATTTAATTTAACAAATTGTTTCTAGAGATTCATTTACTTAGTCTTACTTTTCCACATAAAGTTGGTCTTACTTTTCTAGTAAAATCACTTCTTAAAGAGGTGTTTCATTTAGAGTTTAAGTGCATTGAAACATTGTGATCTCATTTATCAATGAGGATGAGAAAACAATTTTCTTTAAAGTTATTAATAGTTTTGCTTTGGAGAAAACTAATTCTCTCATAATTGATCCTGAAATCATCAATTTTAAAAAACTTGTGGAAAATGGATATGCATGTTAGATGCTATGAAAAAAATTATACTTTTCATTGAAGGAACAGCTTAACACCACTATGTGGAGGCACTTTTTAAAGAAATTTATTCATCTTAGAGAACTTATCCTTACATCCTTTACCTCCTGTTTTGATTTACAATGCTGGGAGCCTAGTGACTGAACGATGTTCTGCTACCAGCTGATTTAACTCAATACTGCAGATAATGGATATGATTTATGTTGCAGAATCTCTTCCTTTACCCTGGTCCATCAGAATGAAAATTGCTCTTGGTGCTGCCAAGGGCCTTGCCTTTCTTCATGAGGAAGCTGAAAGACCAGTAATTTATTGAGACTTCAAAACATCTAATATCCTTCTGGATGCGGTCTGTGACTTTAAATGATGTTAACAATTTCCTGTTTCGTTTTTCCTGTATCATCCCTTCTAAGAGATTGTCAACTCCTTTTCAGGATTACAATGCCAAGCTTTCTGATTTTGGACCAGCCAAAGATGGTCCAGACTCTTGTATCAACACAAGTGATGGGTACCTATGGTTATGCTGCCCCTGAGTTCGTAATGACAGGTGATTAGAACAGATAAAAGACATGCTTTATGGTATTAAAGCCCCCCTCCCCCAACACATTCACGTACAAAATCCCCAACATTAACATGTTCTAGTTTTCTTTCAGCTTGGAGATTCATTCTGCATGAGCCAGTATTGGTACTGGAATGTTGTAGCAACAGATCCATGATGTATTCAGCTTTTATTCACTTCAAAAACTATATGTCTATACGTTCCATGCAATTTTTATTTTAAATCATTTTCCTCGTCCATCTAATAATTTGGGGTTGGTATTGTTATGTTTTTTTTCTTAGTGAGGGAAAATATGTTTGGCAATTAAATGAGTATTCTATTTTTCCAGGGCAAATGACATTTAGGAGTGATGTTTATAGCTTTGGGGGGTTCTTCTTGAGATGTTGACAGGCCAAAGATCCATGGACAAAAACCGATCAAATGGGGAGCATTACCTTGTGGAATGGGCTAGGCCGTACCTTGGAGAGAGAGGTTTTACTGACTTATAGATCCTCACCTTGAAGGACTCTTCTCAATCAAAGGGGCACAGAAAGCAATTCAATTGGCTGCCCACTGTCTTGGCCATGATCCTAAAGCCAGACCTTTGATGAGTGAAGTGGTTGAAGCACTAAAGCCTCTGCCAAATCTCAATGACGTGGCTTGTTCTTCATCTCACTTCCAGGTCATGCCAGCAGAGTGTGCAGGGTCCGTTGCAAACGCTAGAAATGGCGGTAGACTGCAAGGAGGGTTCCCGTCTAGCAATGGTCAACCGAGTAGAAGCATCCCTACACCAAATGGGCCTCATGTTTCTCCATATAACCTTAATCATCTTCATCGGTCACCCAAACCTGATGTTGGACAGCCTTCAGAATGAGCCTATGCCTCCCTTCTTGCTCTGTTTTATTTTAGTTTATGCGTTTCTTCAAGGAGAGACGGAGGGAACGTTAGTGGGGCTTGGAAGTTATGCTGGTGAGCTTGATGTGTTCCTTTTTGAGCAGAAGTGAAAATGGGCTCTGCACTGGAGAGAAACATTGAGAGGGCTCTTTTGTAGCATATGCCGTGTTTGAAAAAGTTAATGCCTTTTCTTTAGTGCTTGTCTAACTTCTATGCGATCAAGGTTGACGCATTTGGGGACTATAGTTTCCATTGCATAGCATGAATGCATGATGCGGTCAGGATTCTTTAATAATAAAAAAGAAAAAAAAACCGTCAATTTCTTCTGCTGAGTGCTTTAGTTTGTGTCGTGCATTCATTTGTTTCAATACAAAAAATTTGTAATACTCTTGTTGGGAAATATAAAGAAACAAGGTAATCTTCGATTTCCTGAACTCGACATCAAGGATGTTATTTCAACATAATAGTACAGAAAACTAAATCATGAAATAGACTAAACAGATTTATTTTTTAAAAAAATGCAGGGAAACTCCATAAGATCTAATTTGAGGAAGTACCACCGTGAAAGTTGTCTAGATGACACGAAACTTCTGAATGAAGTTTTTTTTCATTTTCTATCCCCAGATCAATATTTAGTTTTGCAGGTTGCAATACGACTTCTGGTCGGGGTTCTCTTCCATTTTCCATCCCCAAATCTGTACTTACAAGTTCCAACAGAGTTATAGTTGGAAAAGGCTTCAAAAGTTGTCTTTGGAAGGTAACAACTTGTTGAGACACATATTTCATTGTTGGCCTACACTTTGGTTTTGCGTGCAAGCAAGCGAATGCTAGTGTAGCAGCAACAACAATACTTTGGGTAACGGTTTTGCTTCTTGGAGGTGTCAAGCGTGTGTCTAATACATCACTTAGCATCACATTTTGCAAAGAAGATGGTTTTGATACCAACGTCAACAGTTCTCCAGGATGCCTTCCCATCAGTACTTCCAATGTCACAACCCCAAAACTATAAACATCACATTTCTCTGTCACAGCCATTGTATAGGCAAGCTCTGCATAGGTACCACACATTTCTCATGTCAATTTAACAATAAATAGTGAAATAAGACAATAGAAGAAGAATGTTGTTATGTTGATAGAAAAAAACCTGGGGCAATATAACCATAGGTGCCAACACGTATGGTATAATTAGATGAATCAGGATCCAAAAGCCTAGCATTTCCAAAGTCAGAAACAAAAGCCTCCAGCTTTGAGTTCAATAGAATATTGTTGCTTGATATGTCCCGATGAAGGATGGGTGGGATGCAATCATGGTGAAGGTAATACAAAGCATGAGCTATGTTTTTTATGACATTCACCCTTTTGATCCAATCCAATTCCATAGCTTCAACATTATCTCTGAGGATGTAAAACAAGCTTCCCCTTTCCATGTATTCGTAGATCAAAAACATGCATTGTCTATGCAAACAAAACCCATGAAGCTTAACAATGTTCTTATGTCGTATTTCTGTTAACATCTTAACCTCATTCTTGAAACTTTTGTAAAAAGTGGGTACCTCTGCTTCCCTACGATGAAGTTTCTTTAAGGCAACTACTTTGCCATTTGGTAATTGAGCCTGGTAAACACTACCATAGCCACCAGTACCAATGCAATATTTGATGTCGAAATCCTCAGTTGCTGCAATAATGTCTTCATATGCAACCCTCCCATCAAAGTTCCATAGTGAGAATATATCCCCATTTTTTGTTAGACTTGGAACTACTTCCTTACTTTTAGCTCTATGTATTCTTCGAGTAAGGAACAACAGTGCCAGAGATACCAAGACAAGAGAAATGGTGATGAGAAGAGTAATTTTAATATGTCTCAAGACTTTGTTGTTTGTTTTTCTATGTTGAGTGAAGAAAGGAGGCAAAGTAGTGGGGTTGCTAAGAGGATGACCATATATATCTGGGTTGCCTTTAAAGGAGCTCTTTGGAAACTTATTCAAATTAAGTGGGATTGGGCCTAAGAGATTATTGTAACTGAGATTCAAGCTAATTAAGTTTGGTAAATCCCCAAGTTTTGCAGGTATTACCCCTTCCAAAAGATTTGAATGAAGATACAAGTTGGTCAAATTGGTTAAATGAACTAAAGTGGAGGGAATAAAACCAGTGAAATTGTTATTGCTAAGATCTAAAATATACAGACTCGTCATATTTCCTATTTTAGAAGGGAGGTCTCCACCTATGGAATTGTGGCTCAAATTCAGTTGTTCTAAAAGGGAGCAACTCTCAAGTCCTCTTGGGATATGTCCACTTAATTTGTTTTTGGAAAGGTCCAAATACCACAAAGATTTTAAATTTCCAAATTCTTTGGGTATTGAACCTTCCAAGAAATTTGAATCAAGACATAATTTGCCCAAATTGGGTAAATGAAGTAGAGTGGGTGGAATTGAACCACTGAAATTGTTAGTACCAAGATTCAAAGAAAGTAATTTAGTCATATTTCCTATCTCAGCAGGAATGAAACCATCTAATTGATTTGCCCCAAGATTCAGGTAGTCCAAATTGGACAACCGAGTCAGAGATGAAGGGATACGACCTGTTATTTTGTTTTTAGCAAGAGACAATGCCTCCAAATTATTTAGTTTCCCGAAATTTTGAGGGATAGAACCATTTAAGTTATTTGAATCGAGGGACAAAAATGACAAATTCAACAAAAGACCCAAAGATGGAGGGATTTGACCTGTTAAATTGTTTTTTTCTAGACGCAAAACTTGCAAATTGGACAAACGAGACAAAGACGAAGGGATTTGACCTATTAAATTATTTTCATATAGATACAAACACTGCAAATTGGATAAACGAGACAGAGAGGAAGGGATCTGACCTGTTAAATTGTTTTCATAAAGATGCAAATACTGCAAATTGGACAAACGAGACAGAGAGGATGGGATTTGACCTGTTAAATTGTTTTCATAAAGATACAAATACTGCAACTTGGACAAATGAGACAGAGAGGATGGGATTTGACCTGTTAATTTATTATCACCAAGATCCAGAAGTTCCAATTTACTTAGATTTCCTATGTTTGGTGGGATGAGACCCTCAAAAGAATTTGTTGTAAGGTACAGGTTCCTCAAATTGGACAAGAGACTCAGAGATGAAGGGATTGTACCCCCTAAATTGTTTCGCCCAAGATCCAAAACAATCAAGTTCTTAAGGTTGGTCAGTTTCAAAGGGATGGAGCCATTGATTTGATTCCAATAAAGAGACAAGTATCTCAAATTTGTCAATTGACCCAAAGTTGGAGGGAGCGGACCAACAAGTCGGCATTGATCCAAGCGAAGATCAGTGAGATTCGTTAATTCCCCAACTTCTGGAGGGATGAAGCCACTAAATGAGTTGAAACTGAGGTATAAAACTGTCAGACTGGTTAATTGTCCAAGAGAGGATGGTATTGGACCCACAAGCCAGTTGCTACACAGATCCAGAGAAACCAAATTCTTTAGATTCCCCATTTCTGGAGGTATGGATCCATTGATTTGATTGTTTGCAAGAGTCAAAGAAATCAGATTGGTTAAATGACTGATATTGGAAGAGATTGGACCAATGAGGCTGCAATTACTCAAGTCCAAGGCCACAAGATTCTTCAAGTTCCATATTTCTGGAGGGATAATACAATCAAAAGGATTTGAGGCCAACTCCAAGTGGGAAAGATTGGTTAGAAGGCCTATGATTGGAGCAATGGATGCAGTAAGGTTGTTCCCAGTCAAGTTCAAAGAAACAAGATTCTTCAAATTCCTAAGTTCTGGGGAGATGGAATTAATGTAATCATTGAAAGATACGTCAAGCACCTGTAATTGAGTGAGATTTGCAAGTGAAGAAGGCAATGTACCTGATAGAGAGTTATAGGACAGATTAAGGTGCTCGAGTCTTGTAAGGTAGCCAATTCGAGGTGGGATGCTCCCCTCGAGTCCTTGATCGCTAAGATTAAGGCGAACAAGATTGGGGAAGGAAGAAAAGTTCATTTTTCCAAACTTCTTTCCCACGTTGAAGCCAGGTGGACTGATCTCAGTAACGCTCCCAGCACCATTGCATGTTATACCAGGCCAGTTACAATGTTCTGTAACGTTGTTGATGGAGGCATTCCACCACCCACTCTTCCGCAGAGCTTCTGCCTCAGGTGTTGCCCCTGTCACAAGTGAGCTGCCAGTGCCAATACCAATTGTAGAACAGAAAAGTATGGAAGCCCATGTTAATAACTCCATGAAAATGCGAATGTAAAATGCCATGTTAAGTTTGAATTTTTTAAGTTGGAAGTGTTTTGCTAGGTTCAGGAGAAAAGGTGGATATTTAAGGTGGTGGGTGCCGCATGCAACACGCGCAGATCATGATTAATAAGAAAAAGTTTTGTTTCCCTCTTGAATCAACGGGGTGTAGCGAGGAAAGTGTTCCGAGGGGATGCCTTTTTTATTTAATAAAACTAGCTGTTGACCCCATTGTATGCAAGAATCCATCAATCAATAAATATTGTTAAAGTTAATATATTTTAAGAGACTAGGTGTACACAAGCATCTTTAGTTTTGAAGCCAAAGTCAGTCGTCTCCCAATTCCGGTACTGTTAAGGCCATGCGTTGCACGCAATGACTAATCTTTTCCATTTAGTGGAAAGTAGGTTTTGCTTTGATGTGATCCTGCTTTAGCTCTTTTGTTTACCACTTGTCCTCCTTTCATAGAAACCGTGTTCTATTACTGATGCCGGATGAAATTTCTTTTATTGACTCGTGTCTTTCTTTGGAATTAAAGACTTTATATTCATGATCTAATAAAGTTAGCAGCCAGTGTCCCAAACCTAATTATATACAGGAATATATCCATCACTCAAAAAATGTTAAAAGTTACTATTTTTGAGACGTACGCATCCATGTTTCATACATCTTCCCTTTTGAGGACAAAGGGGGGTCGTTTCCCACTTCCAATTAAGGCAATGTGTTGCACGCAATGACTAAACTTTTCTAAGGAGACAGTTTAGTGGAAGTTTCTAGTTAGACTTTTAAGAGTTGATTCAGGTCTTCGGTTATTTGTTATTGTAATGACTTATTTTTCATCTTAAAAAGTAACCAAGAAATTGCCTATGCGGGCCCAGAGAAAGGCCATGTATCACATTGGTCTTTCTTTGCAAACAGTTGGTCATGACTTTCTTTTATGCAAACCTTGTGTTATTTTACGTTTGGTAACTGTTATAAATTTTGAAAAATAATACATGCAGTGAAATTTAATCTGCGAATTAGATAGCAAACACATGACTTGTTACATGGTCCAATGACTTATTATTTGACCTGTTATTTTTTCTATTTCTATAATAAAGAAAGAATCCTCTTATTTCTAAATGATTTCTACATCGTCCCCTATTTTCACTTTCTGAAATCGTTCTCAAATCCTCCCTCCCTAGTCATTCCCTTTCACCAAACTCTAACCACCCAAATAAAACTCCAATCAGTCTCTCCTTCTCACTGCCTAATTGTAGCCTAATTTGTAGCTTAAAAATCCATGAACATATCATTTTCCAATAATTTTTAATACCGAAAATATACATTTCTAAAAACACTCATTGATAATTTTATTATCTTTTAATCTGAGTATTTTCTTTTTCCCTTTTTTTTTTTTCCGAATTGCTTTTACTCGTCATTGTATTTTCTTGTAGTTTAAAACTTTTGCTCGCTATTCTCAGTTTTTCTAGAACAATTAGTTCGATTGGCCCAATTGATGACCTTAAGGTATTTTGATCATTAACTTTTAATTGTAGTTATAAGTTTTTTAATTTTTTAATATCTTAAAAATATATAAAATATATTTTATATATTTTATATTTATTTTAATTAATATTTTATATATTTTTAAAAAGTAAAAAAACAAAATAAAAATTAAAAATTAAAACATCTAGAAATGTATCAAAGAAAGACTGTTGAAATTATTTGATTAAAGTAAATTTAATTAAGGAATCGACTTTATTTTGCCTTTGAAATTACACAAAAACCAAAGAGGGAGGCAACAATTACAGATGAACCTGGGCCAGCCACAGTACAGGCGCGTGAGCACTACTTTTCCACTCTTGAAATTACACAAAAACCAGAAAGGCAAAATTTACATGAAATGCCAGTTAATATGGGTGAACATTTTATGACCAGTAAAATTGTGAGGGATCGTGGAGAGTCTAATAAAAATAATGATCAGTGATTATGGTCCGAAAATAGTGCCGCTCCTTTGAAAAATGCGTGAAAAGACATAAAACTCAGT